CCTGCCACAATCTTTGTGCACACCCTCTAAAATTACTATTTTCCAATGCCAGCAATCTATAGAGTTGCAAGAAAAACACGAACAGCAGACTTGGTTAACAATTGAAAAAGAGAACAACCAGCCACATCGATCCAAAGACAAAATGCATGTGATATAATTCAATAACCATCTGAAAAGGGGGAACAAATCTAATTAACAGTCATACAAGTCAAATACACGCAACGTTACCCCTCATCCTACACTGAAGAGATTTAGAAAGGCTTTTATAACTTCCTGATGACAGTCCCATCTTCATAATACTACTGGAAGATATGAAAGCAAAATTGTGTAACAATAGGCAGACAAAGTACATAGTAAATTTCCTACCTTGGATGAGTGCGTCCAAGATCTCCATGAACAAATTCCTTGATGTATGTCCCAGCCTGTATTTGGACAGCATAAAGATCAAATACTAGGTTAATGATAAAGAAATAAACAGATAAATTCCATAGAAAATATCTTGCTTATTTGACTTTACAGTCCTACCGAAGATACCATGAGTTGCTACTTTTACCCAAGGTCCAGCTGTGACCTTGATATTCAAATGCAAGAAGGCAGGACCTGTGTCCAACCTCTCCTCGGCTTAAAGTGTTTATTCTAGAACTCTTTCTACCATAAGTTACCAGCACCCTTTTCTTCACTCATGTCACTAGAAAAAAATGGCAAATAGAAGTTTCATAGTTATGCTAGGGCTGCATATGAGGTTAGATGGTCAAGAGTGTTGGAAAATAGTTGACTTATGGCAAATGGATTTCCTAAAGTGTGATATATAATGGAGGGGACTCAACCTAGACCTGGAGGTGGCGACATCCTCACGAAGCAAGTTAAGTCCAGAGATGTCAATTTCCTTTTTATTCCAAGTATAGAAATTTATGAATTCAGTTCTAGCTTTATGGGAGTTTAGGAAGTTGAGTGCTGACTGCTGGAACACCTATCGCAGATGAGGTTCAGATACTGGAGTATAAAATGTAGAAGACTTAACACAGCATAGAGCTAGAGACATCACAAAGCAAAGAACATGAAAGCCCATAGAAGTGAACTTCCCCTTGATCCTGAAGGTAGACAAATACTGAAATTTCGGTCAAAAGAGAGACTTACAAGGTGCAATTTTTTTCATATATTTCCTTGTACTTGCTTTACCCTTATGTATGCTGTTCATCCTTCAAGAGTTATTATTCAAATACCAATAAAATATCAGACTGCTTAACAGTTCAACCACTATTTTATAATTTAATTCCTGTCCCCACAATAAAATAGCAAAAGTGTTGCAGACATGTTCATTGAATAACGTCAAATTGTTTTTGGCTACTGTAGAATCACAAATGTTTTCAAGTAATTTGAACAATTTTCCAGAATCAGCACTAACGACTTCGTCAGCTTGAGACTAGTTCATGACAAGTGTTACTTCACCATTTAACTACAGATTCAAATTACACTTGTTGATATACTTGTTTCATGCTTCCAACTTTCATATATAGTTTAAGATACAGGGAAGAACAATATTAACCACTTAAATGTCCACTAAATTCAATTGTGAAACAGCTGGTAACTGAAAAGTTTTAGTTTCTGGCACGTTTTTAAATTTCTCATTCGACAATTACTCCTATTAAGAACAAAAACTAGTATCATCTGATATTAAATAAACCCCAGAATTTCCATGATAAAATATATGCACAAGGATAAAGGATGAGCCACATAACCAACACGTTTTGAGAACTGAAACGTTCGGGCTAGGATCACGACTATCCTATAAGATAACTTTGTAAGGTATGGATCCTAAAAAAGGGATCTAATTCTTTATTGGATCTAGAATGGACGCTTCAGGATTAAAACTTTCTCATTCTTTGTGATAGAACATCCATCATCTACTTAAATAGTCATTTATAACATAAGAAGTTTGAATGAAACACACCAATCATATGAATAATATATCACTACCTGAGCACAAAGATGCAGCAGAAAGTACTGGCAGCTTCCAGCAATCTTCTCAACCCTCATCCTGGAACAAGAAGCAAATACTAACAGTGTTAAATACCTGACATACTTGAAACGGAATGAACAGAATAAATAAAAATAAAGGTTGTCCTACCAATGTATGATTCGCTTACGCTCCAATGGACTACGACGATGAAGTACTCTGATAGGGGTCCTTTGCAAGATTTCCTGTAATTAGAGGAAAAACAAAAGGTAAGAAGATGTAATCGTCATTCATGGTATGCAAGTATATATAAAATGAAAGCTTCCCTCACAAATAACAAACAACATGAAACACAGTATACGCAATATAATTTTATTGCATTTCGTGAATAACTGAACACTAATCCATTATTCGAGAAGGCATAACAGCAGTGCACAACATGATGGTAATATCTGGAAACAAGAAGTATCTAACAGAGTAAATACTAAGAAACGCCTTCCTCCCTCTCCCTATCTTGTAAATGTAACTGGAGGTGCTGGCATGCGGGCTGGTACAAGCAAGAGAAACATATTTATCATGGTATATGAATTTGGAATCTTCACTTAGTCATATCACCTCATCAAATAAGTAAGTTTCAATCATCAAACTGTAGAGGTCTTCCTCCTTCTGAGGTGCACAACCAGGAGATGCTGTTTTTATGCTGTTGGTCTAATATCTACATGAAGAATTTATTAGAGCCCTGACACTTGATTCACCTAATGTGACCCTAATGGCTACTCATGCTTACCCAATTGATCTCCTCCCCCCCCCCGCCCCCTCTCATATATTCATAAAAAAGAATAAATTCAATTCTTAAATAAAGAGAAGGGAAGAAATATATTGTCGGTCTCTAAGCTTGGCCTCTTGCAGTAACCTTTCATATTCACCTAATTCCACTAAATTTTCAAGGCATATTGGAGACAGTATAATATATACACAGGTGCATAGTGTCTACTGCATTTTAGACTCTAAGGGTGTTTGGCAATCACCTAAAATTTGAGCCTGAACCTGGCACAGTTCTTTTCTAAACCAGTTTAGAGTTGGACAAGGGGTTGCTGGTCCAACACGAAACTGATTTTAAGGCCTATTTTTGGCCTAAGGACTGAGCCAGAACTGGCCCAGTCTTTACCAATCACAAATTAACCCAAACTGGGCTAGGTTCAATCATGGCTCAGTTTTAAGAGTTTGCCAAACACACCCTAATTCATTTAAATAGCAACTTACCATATTTTCAATAGAAGATATATGATCAAGATCCTCCTCTGTCAGTGGGCGAGAAGTCCACACAAGGGCAGAATACTGTTTCTGAATTAAGAGAAAATGAACCATCATGCATTCTATCCAAGTGGCAAAATATAAATAGTGAACTAGCAAGAGGCAACTGTTATGCAAAAAGCAAATAAACCTGTTTCTCTGCCTCTCCTTCACGCATCAGAGTCCATATTTCACTGCCAAGCACTTTAAGATTTCGCACTGTAACCTACAAACCATAATAGAGTGCGTCCGAGGTGATACAGTTAAAACAATAAGCATTCAACTGAGACCAGACATTAATGTGGACAACAAACAGATTAAATTTTCAAATCACAATGTCAAACTTACATATCTTTCTGGGGAGTTGTTTATTGTGTCTGCAACTTGTTGAACATCAACCGTTGATGGCATGCAACGAGCATTTAACACTTCAACAAGAAATGGCCGACCAGATCCCAACATCCTAACCTGATCAGATAGTTTACTTATTCCCTAGAAAAGCAGATATAAACAATTTCAATGTAGAGAATTGACACATACGTCAATGTCTTCTCTTCCAGCAGCATGAAACTTGTAACTGTCACCTTTACAAATTGCAAGTGCATTGTCCCCGATTATCTCCTACAATATAAAACATAAGAATGAAAGCTCTGCCTATCTTCAAGCTTAAACTACTTCCATGAAGGGGTCAAACCTCAACCGATGCTTCTCCCATTCTTTCATCATCAATTATCCACCGTGACTGGCTGACCTTCCTAGAGAGCTGTCATAAAGAAAAACCGAAGTGCATGATTGTTTCGGAAATGATTCAATATATTTGCAAGATTATTCAGTTCAGGTCTTCTAGCTCAATTAAGAAATTTCAGGTAGTTAAATTACCTGGAACTTATGTCTTTCTATATAATGTATTCCTTATGAAATACACTTATTTATGTTGCAATTAAACTTCAATCTTTCCCCACATAAAGTTTCCGTTAGGCACTTTGGTATGCAGGAATCCTACAATTCTAATTTCAGTCCTTGAATTTAAAAATAATCAAACAAACTAATTGAAGTAAAAAGTATTTTCCATTAGAAGCTGATAGAGAAATTCCAACTTAATAAGCTAATGGGACAAGAGCTGGTTTCTCAATAGTAAACCTAAACGCAAGCAATTAAACTGTTTAAAGAATCATATAAATTCCTTTAAATCCTGCCTTAAACTTCTTCTTTCTCTTCCACTTCCTTGTTGCCTAACTGCTTATCTGCTGCCAGTGCACCCAGAGACTACAGACTAGTAATAACCCTTGACTACTCCAAACTATCTTAAACATTGCTTTTCAGATTTAAATTGGATCTGTTTCCATCCTTCATTTCATTCATTTCAATCTCAATACAGTGATACTGGTCCTATCCTGTTTCTTATACTGCTCCGCTTCCTTTGCACCTAGAGAGTACAAAATATAATATCCCTTGACTACTCCAAACTAGCTTTTTAGATGCAAATTGGATCAATTTCAATCCTTCACTTTGTTCATTACAATCTCAGCACACTGATTCTCTCCTGTTTCTTCTATCCATAAACACAACCATAATGACCTCTTCCTCTACACCTCCAAAAGCTAAAAACAGAACCAGTTAATTGCCTGATAGTAATACACATAACTAACTTGCATATTTCTATTTCTCAAAATATGTATGCACACAAGCTCTTCAATTATCTGAGTTTATGTATAGGGAGAAATCTTCATGATTAACCTATGTATTTACACGATTACATCTGCCATTTGATTGTTCCAACAGATTTCTTATACTTTCCTCTCATACATATAAAAGAAATTTTGAATTGTACAAACAATAATTTTTTATTTAAACTGCACAGTCTTTTATGTCTACTATTCAAAGTAAATGGTATATGCTTGATTTTTAAATTTTACTTTAGTTATATTGAAAGCACCAAAAGTGCAACACATATCAAACAAAAGCAATATATGCGAACAATTACAAGAAAATTGAATCACAAGAATCAAAGATCATAACAAACAGGTCCATGACTTCGTAATTGCTAGTATAGTTTGTGTATATAACATAATTGTTAGGTTTCAACTCTAGTAGATGTGATTTTTCCCCAGGAAAAAAAATTCAGTAAAGAATAGGATGAGATGAATTATATTTCTAGATATAAATGACAAAAACATAGCATCATATGAAGGGTAAGAACAAAAAGGGGGAAATGGTGATAACCGTTGAATGCAAGAAGTAAGAATCTGTAGAGATGGAAAGAAAATAAGATGACAAGTTGTTTAAACTGCAAAAAATAGAGTAGCTCATCTGCATCATAACGCCTGTAACCCCTACTGTTGGGCCATCTACACCATTAATGCTTGCAAAAGAAGAATATTCAAAGAGAACTCTCACATGCAAAGGAACAACAATTCTGTCTGTAATGGAGACCAAATTTATTGCGACAGAAAAGGATGTAAATATGAGAGACGACCTCAATTGCACAAAAATTGCGTGTCGCAGCTGTGTAGAAACACAGACATCAGATGATAGATAGATTAGTTTGCATCTCTGTTCTAATGGATTAGCAATTTATCATAAGGAGATTATGTCACGATAGAGTCACCTGAAAAGAAACCTCTGCAGTGCTGATCCAATATGAGAAGAAGTGTAAAATAACAAGGATAACAACAGTGATCGCATTACAGACAGAATTACGGCATATAAAGGATCTAGAACTGCAATTTTAGCCGTCCACAGATAAGAAAAGGCTCACATAAACTCCAAGATCAAGAAAGCTGCTCCATTCCAGCTCGATCCAACTTTATAAGTTTCCACTACAGTTATAAATACTTGTAGAATAGTACATCATCCACGTCTGCTATCCCTGGCAATAACAACTTCTCCTAAAGGATAAGAAGATCTAGAGATAAAGGTACTGTACTTTCGTTAAAAAGTATGAGGTGTTACTCCATGGGCAGAAGTAATCCTGGAAGATTCCTAAACAGATGCATGCAATGGCAGATTCACATGTAATCCTAAGGGAGAAAGGGGTGTGTGTGTGTGTTAGGGGGGGGGGGGGGGGTAAAATACAATTTCCCTGCCATAACTTAAAAGATATCTGCACCACATTTGAATTTTAGTCTATTGAAGTTGGGAATTCAACCTGTTTGTTAATAATGTTGATTTATAATATTATATATTAATTCTTGGATATATAGATAGTTGTAGTCCCCATCCCCCCCCCCCCTAAAAAAAAAGAGTTTTTCTGTTCCGCCACTGGATGCATGTTTGCAAGAGCAACACTCCAAATTGCAAGCAGAAGTTCATGACTTCCTAACTCCAGTGCTTTGAAAGTTTCAGGTGTTTCTGAGCATTCACATTTTTTGGAAGACGTATAAGTTGCAGCCGTTTATAAATGGCATTTTCATAAAACTGGTTGATGCAAAAAAATAAGTCTTATTATCTTCCATGACATATAAACGCATACAAGAGTCAGGACTAATACCGCATGAAGCGTAAGTTACAACAACATAGAAGAATAAGCAACAAAAACATGTTTGATCATGGGAAAAATGTAATACTACTGAGCTCCCAACATACCTTCAAATATCTACCGCCAATGTATATAGGCATTCTATGGCAAGTAGTTGTCAATTGACATGGTTTGGATACCTAAAGAGAAAAGTAAATGAGAACAGAAACTTCATGCACTTAATAAATGGATAATGCTTTCTAATGGAAGACAGCCTTACCTTTTGTGGTGGCAACATAAACTGCTCAATAAACATGTGATCTTGCAAACTACTAAGTGCTCTAAGAATAGCTGCATCAGACTCACTGCAGACCGCATTTGAATCTTTTCTAGTTCTGCCATTCAAATCAACAACAATACCTACAGTGGCTTCTGTTTTCAGCGGGACAAGCATCATTATCAATCTTGGAACTCAAATAACATAAAGGAACTAAAAATTCCTTGATATCTTCACACGAAAATAAGCACCTAAGCATTCATATGCCACATAAGGCACGAGACATGTCAAGGTCATGGAAAGTGGAATGAAGCAGCAAGGTGCCGCTTAGGCTTTCTGGGGCTTAAAACGGAAAAAGCGCCAAGTCAATTTTTTATTTTCAAAGAAGGACAAAACATCAAAAAAAAAAAAAAAAGAAAAGGAAAAAACATCTGAAAATTTTAAAAGAAACAAATATTGGAGGGAATTTTTTTTTATAGATACATATGTGATGTTTATAGAGATCCTAACCATGAAAGAGATGTGTATCAATATTTAGATTCAATCATACAATATTAACAAAATACAATCCACATTGTAATGTCATAAACTACATGTAGTGAACTATGTACATAAAATAGTCACAAGTTATGACTTAACGTAAATTATCAAAGGAAAGGTTTACAGTGGCCACTTTAGTGCCACTTTTGGGTTTACTGGCCATTTTTGGGCTGCTTCTCGTGCCACGCTTGTTTTCGGGCGGGCTTTTCCAAGTGGAAAGGGTCTCACAGCCCAAAAAGCTTAAGCAGAGGTTTTTACTGCTTTTTACAACACTGAGATACGATAATCCAAAAAAATAACATGAAAATTAATTAGATTCTATAAATTCACTGTTTGGGCATAGTGAAGCACATAGCCAACAAGTTGTTATATCAAGGGAACTTTGTCCTCTATTACTACACAACAATTACCTTTGGTGCTACAAGGTAGACTATTCTCACTGGTAATAAGTAATAACATCTTGCTTTAATGAACTTTCACAAAATGGATTACCTCCATTCTGGCACTTGCCAACTGTTGCCATGGAAAATATGTGTTCCTGCTAACCTATCATAAGCATGAGATATGATTAATTTATTCTGCTATGCATAATCCTTTAAGAATATTTCATTGATCTCGGCTGCCTAGTTGGTTATACACCAAATTAACTGCTAGCTCACTGTTTTTATTTTTATTTTTTAGTATTAGTCTTCTCAAGTACTTTTCCAGCTCTCGCCAGACTCCGATGAAGTCCTGGTGAAGGTTTTCTATAGGGGTAGAGCACAACGAAGTTCCTTCATTTCTGCATTCAAAGATGAAGAAAAGGGAACAAAGAAGGCATAGGAAAAGGGATCAGGGTCTTCACGATTTTAGGTGATGGGTTTGGTTTTTGCGTTTGGTTTTTTAACTTGATAAGCAAACACACTTAAGTTTTCGGTTATTGGGTATGTGAAAATGGTTTTCTTTTGCTGAAACCCTAATTCACACATATCTGCAGTGAATCCACGTCCTAGGTGTCGTTCTCTTCTGTTAAAGTAGTAGATTCTTCACTTCCTTTTCCTTTTTTTTATGAATTATGAATGCTCATTTGGGCGTCTGTAACACTTATGCTAAAATAACAGCTCCAAGTTAATTTTGTTTTTCTGTAATCGAGTATATTGGTTTTATATGGTGATCAATGTTCGAATTATCATACATCCTTATAATAAACATACAGCCTGATATATATTATTGTTCTTCATTCTACTAGTTTATATCTAAGTACCCAAAAGGCAACCTTTTTGTTAGTACACCTTTCCTTACAATGTTAAGGCTAATGAGTGGTGTTTAGAAATCATTTGCTTTAAATGGATCATAGAATTATCATAAGTTGTGAATAACATTCTGATTAAACCAAACAATTGTTGTGACTCTTGACTCTTTAATGTTTAAATCGTAACTTAGTTCACATGTCAGTCAAAATTGTGTGTGTGTATGTATGTATGTATGTATGTATGTATAACACACACACACATTTAGCGGGTCTATCTGTTTGCCCGGTTATGCTTTTGAATGTTCTGTTTTTACTTATTCAAACGTTAAGCCTGAATATTGCTAAAAGCTAAAGTCATTGTTATGGAGAATGCAATTACAAAAGCTGCAAGTGGTACAAAGGCACTTTGTCCTCTATCTCATATCTCATAACTTGATATTGTGAAGCTTCCAAAGCAATTTAAGGTTTTTCACATACTTTTCAGCTTACCGCCTTGTATATATATTGTAATGAACACTTCTAGAATAATTCTTTATAACAATGAATTATTCGTGAATTATTCTAGAAACATGCAAGTGAAGTACTTTTTGCTTTATTTCAGGTTGGAGCTGAATTGTTATTTTGTGTGATTGGTTACAAACAAAACGAATTACTATCACATGTAAGAAAACTCTAGTATAATTTCTGTCATGAATCAGTTAAAGTTATTTTCTAGAATATCTGTTCAATTATGTATGTCTATTTGTTCACAAAGGTTTCTAGTCTATTATAAGTAAAAATAAACTTCTTCTGCTTGTTCTTAGGTGCAATTTAAGCCGGCAAAAGCATTTTTAGTCTGTTCTAATTATGCACAAAATCCTGAGTGTTATTAGGTGAAATCAAATATAAGCCAGAGGAAACATGCATTATGAGCAAGATAAAACATAGAAAGAAGAAATGAAATGGGTCAGGTTCTATGTTACATGACTTTTATAACACATCTTATAATTTAAAATTATAGAGGGAATAACTATAAGCTACTTTTAATATATTACTTCATTAAAAAACAATTTTTGAAGAGGTATAATAAATTAATCTATCTATTATAACTTTAACACTTTTCCCTATCAATACACCTTATTCACAATCTTTAAAAAAAACCTAAACAGTGTTTTAAAAGCAAAAGGCGAGCTCAAAGCGATGAGGTCCTATGTTGCCTGAGCCGAGAGAGCCAAAAAAGGCAATCACCTAAGTGAACCAAGGCGTCAAATATTTAAAAAATTCATAAGACATTACAAAGATTATGCAAATGTCAATAAGTAGCAAAAGACAAATTAATCACAGCCAAATTTTCAAAGTCCCAAATCTAATGAGTCATAAATCATCTAAATGTAGTAACAAATATTGAATAGTAATATTAACTAGTAATTGCTAACATAGACAAATAAGTAGCAATCTTTGAACTTTAAGGTTCAAACAATGGCTTGTACTCAATGATATAGCTTATAAAGTACATTACAACAAAAAATAGTGAAAAACCAACCAAGAAAAAAGAAACACAAAACTTCAATTACGAAACAAACTTTACTTTATAAGGCACCTTTCACACCTTCAAAATTTTACAACAAAGAAACACTTTGTGCCTTACATCACATGCCTTAGGCTAGTGCCTAAGGCACCAAGCTAAGATCATGAGCAATGTTTAAAAAAGCGGAAGCACAAAGTGAAGCGCTAGACCCTTTGATGAAACGAGGCGTAAGCTTAAAAGCGAAAGTGTAAGCATCATGAGTTTAAGTATTTTAATTTTAAAGTTGTAAAAATTATAAAATATAATATATAATGACATAATAATTTACAAATTTATACATTCATTTGGTGATTAGTAAATAAGAATTAAATTTTTGAAGTATAGAAACAAATCATAATAAACTAAGCTACATGCATAACATATATATTTTATTTACATTCACATGGTCATATTGAAAATACATATGGGCATTTTTATGTTAGTCAAATTTTCTTTTATATCCTCCTATCTTGTCTAAAGTGTACGCTTCAAAAGAAAAGCACTTTATGAAGCGCAATCGCACGCTTCAATTTTGCTTTAAATGATGAGGTATAAGCTTCAATGGATAAATAGTTTCACTCTTGAGTTTCAAAGCATCTAGCCTTCAAAAAGTTGTGAAGCGAGTTTCAACGCAAGTTTCTGAAAAGCTTTTCAAACATTGATCATGAGGCGCCAAGGGGAGCTCTTGTGACACTAAAAGGCGCTTACCTTAGTAACCTTCATCGCTTGACAATATAGAAGGTGCTAAGTTACAAGATCGCATTGTCTGAGCTCCTGAGACGCTAAGGCACATCACCTTTAAAACACTGATGCAAAATATGACATAATTTTAATTCCTTCTTATTTGCAAATTTTGTTGTCACGATATGAGGATGCTAGTTCTTATAAAAAGAAATTTTATGTTCTATGCATGCACCTTTTATCTACTTACTCTAGTTTATTTTGAATGCATACTTTTAAAAGATCACCTCACTTTGAGCTACTATTGACTAATTCATTCAAAAGTTGACATTATCTTTAGCAATACTGACTATTTTATTCATTTCTTCTGTTTATCTTGTTGTTGTCTTGCAGAGATATTCCAGAGCCTCTGATGTCTAAGGAGGTGAGTCCGACCAGAAAACTACTGAAATTATTTTTGTTTAAGTTACATAATTAATCATTGATTTGGAGAATGGAGCACCATGAAAGTGTATGTTAATGAAAAAATGCTTTGAGAAATGAGTAGGAACAACAAATTGTCTTTAGTTGCTTTGGGAAATGATATGAAACTCAAACAAAATTGTCTTGTCATGTTTTACTTGTCCGCTCATAATAAATGCAAGAGTGACCAAAGAATGAAGAGTGGCACATTGGATACCATGACTAGCATGCTACCATCATAATAAAATGGTTGAAAAAAATAATGAGTCAATTCAATTGATCTCATTCTTTTTATTTTCTTTGGATAATAGAGTTCATCAGTTCAAGTAAGTGATATTTATCTCTTTGTTGCTTCGGTTTTATTCTTTTGTTTTGTTTGCTTGCTTCCTTTTTACCATGGGCAATTTAGCAAGGTTTTCTTTTTACTTTTTGTTCTTAATATAGGTTATTATGTCCTTGCTATTTTAGTGGCTACACCACACCTTTCGGATGGAGAAACGATAGGCCATCGAAGGTGTGATGGAGCATGTGCACCTCCAAGTGCCCTATGCCTATCGCCGTCATCATCAACCTTTAAGACTAATCTCAAGCTGGGGAGTTCCTTGACTTCCTCAATATGACGCTCCAATATTTAGTACATATTTATATAGTGATATTTCTTCAATATCTACAATCCAATGTGGATTTTGGCCATC